TTTTCCTCGGCTCTCTCGCCGTCGATCAAGGCTTGCTGACCCCGAGCGTTCCTTATGTATCCTACCGCTACTCTGGTAGCTACGCTGGACTGGACATAGCTAAAGTATACCTTCAAGCAGTCCTTGGCTCGGTTTACCAGTTTTGTTCAACTTGAAGGCAAAAACCCATCTGGACTATTTTGGTTCTTTCACTCTTCCCCTTGTATTTTTATAAGCACCCATGGCTTCTTTTTTTTCAAATCGCCTCCACGCTTGCTTTTTTATTGCTGTGCCCTGGTGGCGACGCCCGTTAACCGGCCGGCCTTCCCTTTTTTTCTAACAGCTCTAGGTGGTGCGAATTCCTCATTGAGCCGCCCGAGCTTCTCCTTGAAGAGTTGTCAACCTCTCTCAACACTCCCGTACGGCACGTTCCATTGCAGTCTTCCAGGCGCTTCGGGCAGTCGCTATTTATCAATTTTATTATAACGAAGAGTTTAAAGCAAACATAACCATTGAGATCATACGAATTTAGACGTCGTTTGGGCAAAAGCATTAAATGTTCCCGTAAGAACTGAATTTATCTGAAATTGAAGGGACTTGATGGTACTTATTTGTTTAAATGAATCCCGGACAAACATTTGAATCTGGCGCGGTTGTAGCTTTACAATGTGCGCCCTAAAATTAGACACACAGAGTTTCCATTCAAGATGTTCGCGGTTGTACAAATGTTGGCAGGTATTTTGAGTTACGCAAAAATACATTTGTAGTCTGGAGAAGGTTCGTGGTCAGAATTTGACGCATTTGCGGTCCCTGCTGGGAAATTTGACAGTGTCTATGGCAAAACGCTGTCACTTCACGTATGCTGGTCTTCGTCGTTTGTATCATATTGTTTGTAGGTTTGGTTATTCGGCTATGAATTGCAGGATACAGTCATGGTGCTTTGTGAAAAGTCCATCGTTATACTGTGTGGGAAGAAAAAGCTCGATTTTTTCCAGCCGCTCACAAAGCAACAGAACAACGGAAGGGAAATAATACTAATTCCAAAAAATCAAGTAATTGTGAAAATTGCTAATAAAATATTGTTTTCAGGCTGATGGCGATAAAGCAGGGGTACAAAAGTTGATAAAAGCGATGCACGACAGTCGCAAAGTAGGCAGTAGTTCTTTTAATGACTCGTTCCTAGGGAAAAGTTATCGGTATTTTCGAGAAAGACAAGTTTTCTTCCGAACTTACGAAAGAGTTCCGAAAAGAGTTGGAATCTAGCAAGTTTGAACTGCGGGACAGCTCCTCCCTGTTCAGTGATGTATTTGCCGTAAAGGACGAAATGGAGTTGAATCTCTTAAAGAAGGCCAGCGATGTCACATGCAGTGTTTTTAACAAACACCTAAAAGAAGAGATCATGGATATTATTGATTATGACAAGGTAAGTCGCTTTTGGACTCCTCAAATTATCCATTTGAGTGTTATACTGAAAGCGGGGGCAACTAGAGTATGCAGATTATTTACATTAGATGGATAAGTTTTATGCGCGTAGTATGTTTGCGCGTGCAAAAAAGTAACTACTGGTTGTCTAAATCTTCCTGTAGGGGGAGTACATGTAATAGCATGACAAAACATGTCTTCACGTGCTAATAAGCTCATCCTTTTTGTCAAACTATCCGACGGTGCATTGGTGACTGGTGTTACTTTCTCAAAGGTACTACCTATACAATCAGTAGATACCTCCAATTACATTTTTTACCTGTCCCGCCGATCTTATTGTTTAACTGACAATCTATCTGATGAAAATACACCCAACGACACTGAGTTAAAGCTTGCGTACAAACCAACCGATGATGCCCATGTTCGTTCAGAAAGTCAAAGAAGTAACAGTATAAGTCCAATGAATACCATCACCCATGGCGTTGGTAAATAATTATAAATCCTAGGTTATTTACACCCGGTCCTTGATACGTTTTATCAACAATTCATCTCAGATTTCGAGTTAAAACGCGACCGAGTTTTCTTAGTTACTCTAAGTCGATCGACGCAAAATAAACACTTGTAATGATACATGAGGCTCGAGTTGTTGGTGATTATTACTCGAGCACTTTATCTCAGTGATTAGAAAAGCATAGTCACAGTCATTCCAACTAACAGCGAAATATGTCAGTTCGTTTAACTCGCCTTCTCGTTGAATCCACTAGATTCATCAGCCTCAGTATGATCGGGGTGGGTGTCTTACGTTGTACAAATATATTCTTTTTCACACGTCTGAATCCGGACTGCGTGTCAGAAAAATGGTACAATAATCTTTATGAAAAAGAAAAACGTTCCGTGATTTGCATGTAGGCGGAATACTGCCAAGGCAGGTGAATTTTCCTGAGGATCCACAACCGGAGCCTTCGGATAGCCAGAGCCTGACTCGCAAGACAGCGAGGCGGTGTGAAAACCGCAATCCACTGGGGGCCGGTGTCCAGTTCATCGGATCATTCGCCCTTTGGGCGGAGTCAAACGACAAAGGTGCCCAATAAACCTCTATGACCAGTGGAACCGATGACAACTGCCACAACTGGGAAGATGTGGGTGTGGTTCTTACGCCTCCTGGTTTCNCCTGGTTTCTTTTTGGAATCGGATTTTGGCCAACACCCCACCACCAGTGGTCCGCCAACCCGGTTATTGCCTCGGTTGTCGGCTTTTGGTTCTCACTTTAGTGGAAAAACCTCCTCCACGAGAAGACAGTAGGTAGGGCTTCCTCAACAGAGGCTTTTCGAGACGATTGGTCTTATGAGAGCATTTCGCGAGGTACAAGGAAAGGGTGACCAGCCGCAACCCTAGACACCCGCCCCTAACCTTACTGTGAACGGTCACCATTCCCCTTTGCTTTGCGAAATGCTCCCATAGGACCAAGCGTCTCAAATAGCTTCTGTTGAGGAGGGTCACTCCCCGTGGCGGAGGTGCTTTCCCGCCAAAGTGAGAGGATGGACCGCCAACATTCGTGGCTATACCCGTCTGGTGAACCGTTCTCAGTGCCCTTAGGGGAGTTTACTAAATCCCTGATTCCAGCTCAACTAAGAGTCGTGCGAATCACACCCTCCTGGTTGTGGCAGTGGCCACCGGCTCGATTAGACACCAAAGTGTATAGAGTACCTCGGACGTTCAATCCCGTCCAAAGGGCCCATGATTCAATGAACTGAACACCGGCTCCCAATGGACTGCGGTTTCTGAGCTCCGTCCTGTTGTCTCACGGGTCTGGCTTTCTATCCAAAGACCTCAGACCCAGATGTTATCCCACTTCTTCATGGCAACCGGGAAGTAACATGCCCACAACCCATGAACACATGCTACATATTTTTTATTTATATGTTGTGGCACATTCGCCAGTTCTGTGTTGAAATAAATAATAAAATAATTTGATCTCGGTAGTGTTATTCCTCAGGGGTCTTTATTTTACAGGTATCTTCCAGCAGAAATTCTTGGCAATCCTCAAGATATTGGTTGGCAAAAGACTCGTAAATGCTGCGGCTAGATTATCTACAGGCGCCCAAAGAACCTAGTAGGTGACAGCTAAATTCAATGAACGACGCTGTTTTTGCTTTTACCTCTTGAAACTAACATTGTGAACCCATTGGTCCAGTTCACTTCCGGATTCTCCGGCATGTATTTGTTGTTCGACCTCGAACGCTATTTGGGATACAGTTAGTATCCAAAATCTCTATTTATATAGCATTTTCACACACGTCTGAATCCAGATTTTGTGCCAAACAAATCATGGTAAAATAATCTTTATTATATATATATATATATATATATATATATCACACGTCTGAGTTCGAAAGTGCGCCAAACAAATCACAGTAAAACAATCTTCAAAAAGAGTTCCGTAATTTCCTTGTGGGCTAACTACTGCAGTACTAGGTTGCCCAAGCCAAGGCAGGGGAATATTCTTGGACCATTCACAAGCGAGACCTTCTGCCAGCCTGACTCACAAGACCACGGGATGGAGTGTAAAAACCTGGTTCCATTAGGGACCGGTGTCCAGTTAATCGAGTCATACGCCGTCCGGACGGTGTCAAAAGGCTAAGGTGCCCAATTGAACCGGTTACCACTGCCACAGCCAAGAATGTGTGCGTACGGTTCGTAGGCCTCTTCTTGGTTGGTTTGAAATCAGGGTTTTTAGCTAAATCTGTAGATGGACTGCCAGTGGTGTACCAACCCGGTTATCGCCCCGGATGTTGGTGTTTCTTCCTCTCACTTGAGTGGGAAAATACCGCCACGAGAGGACACTGAGTAGGGCATCCTCAGAAGAGGCTATCTGAGGTGCTGGTTGTATGAGAGGTGCAAGGTGAGGATAGCCAGTCACAACCTAAGACACCAACTCCTGACAATACTGAGGCTCTCGGAGGCGAAGATTGTATGGATCCAACGCTTTCATGTCCACTTCAGTTTCTACAACCCTTGACCATGCGTTTTCATGCGCCGGTTTTGGTTACTGTCTTTTGACCTCCCCCCATTTCGAAGAAAAAACAGGGAAGAATAAAATGTTGCGAGCAGAGTCAAAGTAGGTAGAGGATTACCATGGAGTTAGGTTGCAATGAAAATTATTAGATGTACGAGCGCCTCTGTGACAGCCGTATCACTAAATGTTTATAACCGCGTGTTACTACGATCTCAGGGTCCCCATCCATGGAGCCCTGCAGTACCTATGCGACCCATTCTGTTGGTTAGGGTTTTCATACCCTCATACCAGGTTTTAGTTTAGTCGCCCTTAACCTTTTCCCATCCGTTGCTTGCCTCGGCAAAAGTGCACCGTGACAACCTATTTGGTGACATGCGTAATACATGTCTATGGAAGTCAACCACTTGTTTCACCCACCCCAAATTGTAGATGGGAACATTGGTGTTCGAATGCAGTTATTTTCTAATCCACTACAATGGGGAAACATAAGTAGTACAATGCAACACTACATCTAACTCTCTGGGACTTTATGCGTTCGCCACTCCGACCCTTAGGTTGCCGGTTCGTAAGAATGAACGACAAGCCCTCGTAAATATGGATTTTACTCCGTCTGTTGCTCATCACACAAGGGTATGAAGTAAAAAAAGTACATGGCCATTGCTCTCCGTATCATTTGAAAATGCTCCTGAGGGATTTATCGCGTTCCGAGCGAAGTAGCTCATTGGCTTGGTTAATATTTTGTTTTCCTTTCTATCTTGCTAATCCTTCAGCCTCAACTTGTTTTTATTCCTTTTTTCGATTCGCTAGAAAGTCAAGCATGAAAAGTTATCCAGTGGCTGTCACGCTGCACTTCAGAAAAGCAATCTGATCAGTGGACTGGATCCGGACAGTCTGGAACTGTGCTATGATCCTATTATTCAAAGTGGAGGAAAGTATAATTTGAAGTTTAGCATCGAGAGGTAACTCATCGCTTTGTTTTATCTGTATTTAACTTGAGATGATATACTCTTCTGCCCCAGGTAGTCGCAGCGTTTTCGATTTTATTTTGGCTATTCCAGGTTTGGTTAACTTAATTGGAGGGACCGTTTGAATTATCATTATTATTTTATTGCCGTTTTACGAGCAAGCTTGGTGCCAACGCAACAACAAGAATAACAGAACGTAGGGGGTTGGGATACATTGCAGAGTAAAAAGGTCAGACAGCTGAGCTGAATAACGAGAATAACATTTTTATTTTGTTTATTTCATCGTACACTTTTCGATCTTTTTGTGTTAGCGTTTTTTATGGAGCACGGGATTTCAATAGACAGACCGTACAGCGTTCACGTCACTGACTTCTATTCTGGGCCATATTTCTCAGCCTCTCCAAACGGCGACAATCTTCTTCCTTTGGGCCCCAACCCGGATTATGGGCTGCACCAACCGAAGCCAAGGCTTTAGCCAGCTTCTTCATACCTCTACGCCATGTCATGGTCTGACCGCCGCAGCTCTTCTTCCAGCCTTGCCCGACACGTGCAAAGAGCCGTTTGTGATGCTAATAGAAGCTGGAATCGTGCATAGCACACCCAGTTATGCTTACTTGTGGATAGTTTGAGTGTTTCATCGAAGACTCCCAGCTGACGTCATCTTATACTGTTCACTCGCACACAGGCTCTCGTTATTCAAAATCCTTATAGAACCTGATGCGGCTCTTCACTGGTGTAATGCAAATATTCCGACCAATCATTTTTCAGCATATCTTTTGCAGAAGTTGATTTTTGTTATCCGGAGTTTCTTGAAGTGAATCAATTAGAATGTAAGTGAGAAATATTGTTTAACCTCTACATGTAAAATCACTAATTTGTTCAGATACCTGATTTTCATTGTGCGAGCCTATTTTTAACGATTAGCCGATATTGTCGGGACCGTTTTTGGTTGCAGACAGAAACAGTACATCCTTAAAAGTATTAATGTAAGAAGGTTCACGTCTCGGATTACTGGCGTTAAGTGCTATCGGGTTTTGAAGCTAAATATAGTGGTATTGTTTTTCTCATGCAATTTTGAACGAATTAAGCCATGTTTAGGGATATGAGGGACTATTCAAATTGGTTTTGAGCGCATTCACAGACACCATTTAAACCATGTTCTTATGTATGTCCCAATCCTTTAAAATTCCTTTTATCCTCGCATTTTCGATAAATTATTAAAGAATGTTGTGTGGAAACCAATAAAGAGCATTGAACACTGGTTTCATCCCTGTTGAGACCTATCACCACTGTGTGATTGGCGCGCCTGCTGTTAGCCTTCGCACAATGTTCTTTAACATCAGAGTCACATTTTTTGTTCTTTTAATTTCACAGGAGTAACTTTGCACGCGGCACAGTGTTTGACGTTGTGATTGTCATACTTTCTATTCTTTCCAAGCGATGATCAGGTGCTTCACTTTGGTACAATCGTCTGCTCAATGGGTGTGCGCTACCAGTCTTACTGTTCAAATGTGATTCGTTCCCTTATGGTTAATCCAACTGAAGAACAGTCGGCTAACTACGCTTATCTTCACGACCTCTTTGAATGGGCTATCACTCAGATCAAACCTGGTATGTCACTAAAATTTGCAGTAGCGTTGTGCTGTTCCTTATTTCTTTTGAGAAATCACCTAGACAGGCGGACCAGTCCTACTGGTTTGAGAAAAAAACAAGAACTAGTTGATCATTCTATCGGGTCTAAAGGAATTCATGCTTAACTGCGGCACTGACTAATCCTATGTGGTTTTTTTAATAATTCATGACCTTTTGTGCAGATAATTAGAGATTTTCACAGATGCTATAGATATATTTACATTAGGAAAATTCAAAGTTTACGAGTATATCAGTATAACCAGTTTATTTTGTCTAGCCTGACAAACGATTTAAAAATTAAAGTAACTGGAATAAATACTGATTACGATAACAAATCTGTCACGTCAAACAACTCCGTTTTGATTTTTGGATATCTACTTTTGCCCGTATTTCTAACAAGTTTCGTGTTTTAAATTTCACAGGTGTAAAGATCGCTGATTTTTGTCAATCGGTACAAGACAAGGTTTCATCAGAAAAACCCGAATTAAGCGACAATTTGATTAAAACATTTGGGTGAGTGTGTTCCCATTGTATGGCATGCAACTGATTGTTGGGACGGATCCAGCAGTTCATCTCGCTACGGAATCCACAGTGCACAAACAAATATACTATCATTGAATTTTAGGGCTTGTATTTTAATCTTAATTTTTCGGCTTTGAACAACCGAGTTACAAATCAGCGCTGAAAACCGAACAGCTCTTAGCTGAATTATACCACACAGCACACATTGATTTAGTTGATTGCAAAACTGTTTAATTGTAATAATCGTGTCGCGGAACTAAAGGAAATCTTCTGACACTTCATTTATGAAAAGGACTAATGGCAAACCAATCCGTTTCAAAATTAGTGGCTATGATTATCAAACATGCTCAAACATTCAAAAAGGTTCTAAGGAGATGCAACTAGTGTTATTCAGCCTGTAGCTGAATAAAAGCTCGTTACCAATTTTACCTGTTCACTTTGGACCCAAAACAGTTCGCCACTGCTTGGTATTTCGTTTTTCATAGGTCCTCGTTGCTGGATCATTTCGGTTTGCTCCTGCTAACTGTTACACTGCTGCGCAATGTAGGAAACTCTGTTCGAACACGTACATCTCAATAGCAGTGCCCAAATGTGTCTTATTCGTTGGTCGGTCAAACAGGTAGCTAAAACCAGTGGAGACGGATTCACTGAGTGCCGGTTTCAATCTTGGGCTGGTGTGTGATAAAATGTACATCATGCGAAAATCTATTAAAAACAGAAACATCCGCCGCATGTGCACTGTTTCTGTGCGTTGTTTCTGTCAACGTTTGTATCGGTTCCCTTCCCCCTCTAGGGTTGATCATAAAATGTTGTTTAGGTTTCATCATGGACGGAGCAAATGAACTGAAAACCTAGAAAGCACTATACAACTGTTTCAACGTGATTGGGTCTCATCCGCCGTGCGGATCCATGGATTCCACCGGAGATCAAACCCGGGACCTTACACACTGAACACAAGCATATTACCCATTCGGCCGTGTCAAATAATAGTGTACTAGTAGTTCTACTTAACCAACTGGAACATAAAATCAATGCATAAAACAAACTTGTCGTTGGTAATGTAAAACAAATGCAGCAATAGCGCCGGAACAAAATATATTTTATGGTGTATGGAACCATTGCTTTGTCGTCAGCAATAATATTCCATCTACCCCAATGATAAGATAATTCAGCTGCCCATGAACATGTTACCTATCGAACGTGCCTCCAAGTCCGCGGTTGGAAGAATAGTCATTTAGTTTTCTAAGCATAAATGGACTTGCATTGCTTCGCGGAGCCACTGATCTCTGCAACAAAAAACCGTAAATATCAGTGGAAAGCAGCGTGACATAAACAAATCTGCTCCCCATCATGTTAGTCCATTGCTCACCCCGTTCCCTTAGAAGTGCGGGGGTTAGAGACGCTATCATAGAAAAAGACAGCAATACTGGGGATGCCACTTCGTGTCCTATTTCCGAGCTTCTTCATAGGTCCACTTCCATGACTAATCCTCCGGTATGATTCCACTCAAAGATACGAAAACGACAAATTTCTTTGTACTTCCTTTTTTATTTATTGAATATACAAATGTACAGTCAACATCAAGAAGGGGTCTGCGGCCATGCAAAGACTGACTGGAGAAATACAGAAATAGGGAAGACGGGCGGCGGTGGAGCGGTTCGAACCCTTGACTTCCGGGTCACAATTTGGTGACCTAACCACTTGGCCACCACTGACAAATGAGACCCTAATGTTTTCAAAACGTGCTGTATTTATGCACATCGCGACCCAGGAATACTGAAAATTCCGTGAAGTGAATCAGCTTGACACAAAGTGCAGTCACCGAGGTAGAGACAGGATTCTGCAGTTCGGAAATCTTAACCGACTGGTTACCCACTGAAGAGTAAAGGAGTTACTTGGCTTAGCGTAAATTCGCGGGCGTTCTTCGTGAAATCCGTTTTTCTATTCTTTATTGGTCAAACTAGTTCCGTTTGCTTTTCACTTTTCAAGCACATCCGATATGCATTACAGAAGTGCCATACTCATTAGACCAGCTTGCACGCTCGGGGTTACATTATTTGCTTGGCTTTCCAAACAGACTTGGTTTTTGGTGGTGTGGTGTGTGTCTGTCTACCTAGAGTACGATCAGCGTTCTTCCAGGTTTAAAAATGCTACACATAATGTTGTCTATCAACTTCGTAGGTGTTCAAGGGTGTCATTCCTCGGTTGTACATTGGTGTTTCCGGCTCGTCTACATGGCTTGTATACCTAACGACTACCTTTGTTTTTCGTCCTAGGTTTGTCACAGGCATCGAGTTCCGCGACTCTCATCAGCTGTTGAGCGTCAAGAGCACCGGTGTCTTCCGTCAAGGCATGACTTTGAATTTCAATATTGGTTTTCAGGTTAGTCTATCTTTCCTAAGGTAAATAATACCATCGTTTGAACACGCTCTGTTGCCAGAGTTATCAGGCACCGGCGTACTGAAAAAAGTGATTAAAAGTTCATTCTCGTTAAAGCATATTTCCTGATTTTATTCATGTTTTAGTGTGTTCGACTCATTTTTATCAGTATTATTCTCTTGCGGTTTATTTTCCCGTTTCTTTTATAAAAGACCCGTGCCAGCTTTCTATTTGGTATCTTATGTCATTTGTATTATATATATATATGGCGCCAACGCAATAACAAGAATAACAGAATATGGAATGTTGGGATACAAAGCAGAGTGAAAGGTCAGACGTTTAAGTTTAATAAAACACGTCTCGATTTAGAATTTTATGCATAAATTTTGTTTCTTTTAAATATTGTGGTAATTTCAATAGTTGGTTATTCTGCAACCTTCCCAGTATCCTTTGAGTAATTTTTCTACCACGTTGTAATATAACCTGTGAAGTTGGTATGATTAGACATCTCAAATTGAATGGTACAATCCTGCCAGTGATAGCTGTTGGTGTCTATGACCCTTGTCCCATTTCAGAATCTTCCCAACAAGCGAGGCGAAACCAATAGAGATAAACAATATGCTTTATGGATCGGTGATGTTATTGGTGTTGGTGTTGGAGAAAACGGGTCGAACATGGTTTACACACTGGCAGCAAAGCGTCGTCCCAAGTCCATCAGCCTGTACATAAAAGAGGAAGAAGATGAGGAGGAAGAGGACGAAACTGAAGCAGATGGTGTGGTAAACAGTAAAGACAAATCAAAAAACAGTTCTGTCAACGGCACTCGCTCAGGCTCTTCACGTGCATCCGGGGCGGAAAAGCGTGGTTTGATGAATGGAGACGTAAGCTCAGCTCAAGAGCTGCTTGGTCGTGGACATCGACGTGCCATTATCGAGCAAAAGACTCGGGTCAGTGTCTCATTCAGCCTGTTATAGACCAAATTCCCAATGAAGTTTATAATTGAGTCTAATTTCGGGAACCATTAGTTTGACCTATCTTCAATACACCCGATGTTGTCTGCAGGCAACAACAGTAGCACACACGAGATTATGCATGACCGTTGGGTCACGGAGTTAGCAGAATTTAAGTAGATGGTAGACTTGGGAAAAGGAAGTGAATTGCTATGGCTAGCTATGTACGAAACGTTCTACTCTTGGTAGAAATAATAACAAACGCTACTACTGTAGGCTCGCTGTCATATTAAATATTTCCAACCTTAATATAATGTCATAATTTGTGTATGAGCATTTTAACCAACTATTTGCTTCAAACTTTATATATACCGGTTTGTGAGTATGCATGGTTCTTTCTCAACTATGTTAAAAACAGAAAACGAAATTTAACGCCATAATAAGGAAGTGGTTTAAGAAGAGCAACAATGTGTACTTTGTGTTTTCACTGAACACTTGAAGGTTTCAGTTTCAGTTCGTACAACCATTAACCATGAACTTTCGTGCGCCAGTTTTGGTTGCTGTCTGGCTGCCCATTTGTATGAAGAATAGGAGAAGACAGGGAAGTTGAAAGTAGGGGCGAGCAGAAAATAGAGAATTTCAGTGGATTAAGGTTCCGAGGAAATTGAGGTGCACGAACGCCACTGTTCACGAAACCCAGCCATATTGTAGCGAAAAGGCTGGGAAAACGTTTATTGATCCAATTCAAAAACAACCGGTGTACGCGTTCAATTATATACAATTAATGCTTAACCGCGCCGCAGGATGATTGATGCCTCTCTGTTGGTCTTGGTTCGCACTTGGCACGTACATTGCCTCTTCTTCCGCGTGGCTCATTTGACCCGATTGTAGCGCGAGATATGTTGATCGACAGCTCCGACGTGGTGACATTCGGTGTATATCTTTCTTGCTGGCTGCGGATTGTCTGTCGGGCTGTAATTGTGGATTCGTTCGTTTCGGGTCGTAGTCAACATTGTCTCCCGAAGTACTTCCAGCCGCTAC